TGTGTGTGTGTGTGTGTGTGTGTGTGTGGTTTGAAGATGCAGTAGGTGCTTCCAGGGACTTCCCCCAAGTGTTGTTGCTCTAATCAGCCAATTAACTGGCAGCTAATCTGATAATGTCACATAAACACTCAGGTGTCTGTGTGTCTGTTTGTGTGTGTGTGTGTGTGAGAATAGTGTGAGAGACAACAGGGAGGAGAGAGAAGAGAGTGTCTAGCCTACCACAGCAAACAGTCCAGTTCTAAACATTTAATCCATCATCCCTCAGTGAGGGAATGGTCTAATCCCACGACTGAATGGCTGGTTAATCTTGCAGTGAGCTGGTCAATACTGTACATGTGTTGCAGGCTGACCTTTTTTATTGATTGGCTCACGTACTAAACCGCTGCATGTCGAATATTTGTGCTCACCCAAACAGAACAGGTGCGCGCTCTGGTGCGGCTGGGACTGTGTGCCTGTATTCAGACTGTGAGGGACATGATCACACCGATGGATATTTTGACTAAATTTACAACGATTTGATTTTACTAGAGAGAATCTATGGAAACGATTGCCTTGAAAAAGGTAACTCAATATATTTATTATTCTTGGTTTGTATGTATTTCCTTATTCATGCATTTTCAAAAGTCGTGCATGTTTCAGGTCAGGCATGATCTTCCCTTTTATAAACTTCTCTACTTAACTAAAGCACAAATGAGCCTTTTTCCCATTTGCCGCCTGACTGAAACAAAGACAGGAATTTAATTGAAACAAGCAAGAGGAGAAACTTTTTTTGGTCCTAATGTCAGACACAGCAGGGTGGTGATGAGGGCAATCGCTACTCCGACAAACTGACTGACAAACTCATCTACAACTTGAATTAAGAGCCGACTGCAAACAGACGCTTAAACTGGTTGACTAAAGGTCTACAGAGCTGAGTGAGCACGGACACAGTTTGTCACTCCTGACAAGTTGGAGACACCTGTCGTCAGCTAACACCAAATCGATTCATCCACATTTCACAAACTGGAATGGCACTCGGTAGAGTTCGTACCTCCTCCAAGACCCAACAGTCTCCTTATAAAGCCAGATTTATCCTGCAGTGTTACAGGAAGTGATGAAAAAAATCCCTACATCTGCCCTTTTGACCAAATCCATACAAACATGTAATGGGTTCTTCCTCACCCCATACCCCACCCTTCTACCAAGTGTTAATAAAACTGTTTCAGTAGTTTTTACATAATCCTGCTAATGATCAGAGAACCAAACAATCAGCAATGAAAAAATAACCTTAACACATAGCAGAGCATTCAAAACATAATATAGCAAATAAGTATCTAAAATGTATCTGCATTTAAGAACTAATTATTGCTTGGCATTTAGCAATACTCATATTAATGTTGTGTTACAGTTAGAAAAGCTGGGGCTATAATTTATCCATATTCATTTTTTTCTAGTTATTTCTATTATTTTGCAAATCATCTTAAAACTTCACAGATAATGACTATTTCCATGTTATCTTTAACATTATCTCCTAGATTTACCATCTTTTTTTGTTGACACTGTTAAGGAACCAAATGAGAGGCAAGAGCGTAAGGTTAAATAAACTCTGCCGTGCGTGTCAACAAGGTTACTGAAAGGTCTAGAGTCAGTTCCATTAGAGGGTCTATTAAACTCGAGAGCCCACGTCTCTGATTTTCAGCTGTGAATGAAGCAAAGAGAGCCAGAAGCCATTTCTAAAGATAAATCCCCTGAATCCATTGCAGGCCTGTCTGACCTACTTTCTCAAGCTACTGATTCTTATCCACAGGAGAGAAAATACATTCTCACCTGTGTTGAATACCTTTTCTCTTTAATGGTATGTATTGTACTCAGCTTATTCAAATGCAACCTGAGGGCGTTAGTTATAGTGCCCTGTGGAATCAACCTGCATGCTGCATAACAGATGAGGATAGTCCCTAAATTTTGTCTCCATCCAAAACTATGAAACACCAATTTGGACGATTACGTCCTTGTTGGACGTAATGTCCAGCACACGACGTAATGTCCACCACACGATGGACAATCAATAAGACTTCGGAGCTGTTTATGTCCCTCTCACCTGTACTGAGCCTGAAAGTGTTCCTGGACAAAACTGTGTCGACCTCGAGGCTGCTGTGTGCTGGCTGAACTGGGACTGGAAGAATCCTCCACTGGACTGGGTCCCTGCAGATAAATGAACCAAAGCAAAACATTGAAACACACGGAATGTACCAACTTTACCTTTCAAGAATGATTTGCAAAGATACAAATAGACATGAATATCAATCCCAGTTTTATATTTAAAAAGGCACAAGAATACCAAATGCCATCTAAGCTGCAGCAGAAAAGATTTTGATTTGGAAATGTGTTCAGGCTGCATGCAAAGTGAATCCTTATTTATTTTATTCTCTTTGCTCAAATTCATTTCAGGAACCTGATATGTAACTGACATAATATTGTTATGTTTTGTTGCAGAGGAGAAGATACTGTAAATCAGAACTTCAGAGAAAGAGGGCAAAACTCTGAATAGTGAAAACTACACATTTATTTGTTTGACAGGTTAACGTGAATCAAAAAGCATGGGTTGTGCAAGTCCCTGGGTAAATAAAACAAATAAATGTTCATAAAACGTTAGAGCAGGGAGGTATGTAATGCACCTGTGAGAGAAGTAAAGTTTAAACGGTAAAAAGCAGAACAATCAGCAAAGATTAGATTTTTGTGTCAGCCGTCCTCAGTTCCACGCTTTTATTTGCTGAATAGACTAAATCGCTGCGATGCCCTGCGTGCTGTGTCGGACGCAGCAGGGGAGCAGAAAGACTTTAAAGACAAATTTAAGAATGAAAGCATGATGGCAATGAATTAAAGATGGACAAGTGACTGGGGGAAACAGCGCAAAAGATTGCTGAATCTTTATCTTGATATTTAAGCTGTCAGCTAACACTGGGACGTAATGACTGATTAAACACACACAAGCTGTGAGTTACTGTACGTGCAAGTGCTGCGGAGTCGTGTGAGGTGAAGAACACACTAGAGGGGTGGAAAAAATGTGTTTGAGTAACCGCCACGGAGTGATGGGGTGTTCGAAGGCATCAGCCATAAATCACCGTTTTCACAGCAGAAGACTTTGCAGTCTTAGCAGCACAGGTGTAATTGATAACATAATAAATTCATTCTGTAGGTGAGATGGCTCCATGGCCTCGTACACTGGCTGCCCGCATGATTTACTGGGGAACTTGACAGAACTGAACCAGTGTTAACTGAATGTTGTACAGGCATGCTTGTCCTGCTATGACAAGTTGAATTGCTGTGAAAAGGGTCCTCTCGTTGCTGTCATGACACACACACAGTCTTTGAAGTACTACAGACACAACCTGAAGTTTATGTAGTGTACAGAAATCATCTATGTCTATGATGACATTACAGACATAGATGATTTTTGTAGTAGCAGTAGTAGTAGTGGTGGTAGTAGTAGTAGTGTGTAGTAATGCATTCAAGTTTATAACCAATAAGAATAGAGACAAGATCATCATATTGTATAAATACTGTTATCATGATATCTATCTGGAGAGAGAGATGAGCGTACTGATTCCGTCCATTGAAATTTGTTGATACCAATGAGGAACACTTTGTAATCTGTTGTTGTTGCTTCAGGGTGGGTTTTCAAACCCTTGTTTGGAATTTGAAATTCAGCAACAAACAAAGTTGTTGAGATACCAGGATCTGATCTTCTCTGTACCTTCTCTGGGGGAATGAGACTTTCTGTGCTGGTCTCAAATCGTGTCTTCGCAAGTAATGACGAGCCAACTTTGCAGAAGTTTGCCTGTTGTTCAAACGGAATCTAATCATCTCTGTATTCACTTTGAACAATTACCTGCTTTGTGGCATCTCGGAAAATCCCTCCGAGGATGGCACTTTCCAGAATATATAATGAGGCAAAAGCACAAAGCCCAGAAACCATGTGAGACAGTTTGTTTGAAAACTTCACCTCAGCCCATTTCCAGACTTTGCCTTATTTTAATCTTGCTTCTATACTAAGTGGATAAAATCACAATATAAAAGCCAGTTTTCCTTTTAAATCACTGCAAATTCAATAGTGATAACACTGGACTGTTGCAAGGACAAACCACAAGACACAATTTACAACGAGTGCTGCTGTGTCTTGCAAGGAAACCAAGAGTCAATACACTTGAGAAGAGAAGAGGCAGCTACACCTGCTGTTTGCTTGGATTATTATTTCCTCATGATGTAGAGTAACATAAGACAGACAGCATTTAGAGGAAACCGATAAAGTAAGAAATAACAGACCGATGCACGTGCTTCTGCCCTAGAGCAAACATTAGCAGGGTATTTAGCCCATTTCCACAAATCGCAAAATCTCATAGGGCTTAACAAGGTGCGACATCCCCTGTCCTTAACCCTCAACAAGAGTGAGGCAAACTACCAAAAAACCCTTTTAACAGGGGAATAAACACTGAAAGCTCAGAAGGAGCCACATGCAACAGACTGATTCACCCTAAGTGTCGTTCCTTCCTGCAGCAGTGAGACTGTGCCACCAGCTCTGCTCCCAGTAGAACTACATGCACCACTATTATGGACTGCGCTTTCTCATTTCTCAACTGTGCAATATTCATTTTGCCATATTCATCTGTCTTTGCAAGATTAATGGTTCCTGTGCAATGGTTCAACATCTGTCCTAAGTGATTCAATCACAAGTAAGCAGTACAAAGTACATGTGTGAGTGTGTCCAAATCTTTCCTCAATGTGAGACCTGATCTCTCAGACCACATTCAGAGAATGCAAAGCATCCTGCGCCATATATGAAGGACCCTACTTAGCTGATACTGCTTCCCAGGGCCCATACATCGATTTGTGTTGCCACAATGACGTCGTCATTTCTCCGAAAACGTCCTTGGTGAGAAAAGTTGGATCAAAATGGAAAAAAAAAACATGATCCAAAAGCTATTTTGAATGTTAGATTTTCTCAATCTTGGATGGACTGCATGTGATTCTGTGTTGGATCTCTGACAATCATGAGATTTAAAGCTCATTTGAATTGATTTTTTTTACAAAATAGATTGAAATAATTAATCTATATGAATATAAATAAACTAAACTAAACAATAGAAATTGTGTTTTTTAATACCAATGGTCTTTATTTTGACATCTGTCCGTCGTGTCCCGTTTTTCATATCCCAAGCTGAGCTGTGACAGACTCGATTTCACCCTCTTTTCTTCATCTCATCTCTGGAGGACAATGGAGAACAATCCTCAGACCCTCTGAGACAAGAGTCGCTCACAAGCATCACCATGGAAACGCTGACCGCATTCCACCAAACCAATGGGAATCACAGAATGGCCTGAAAATAATCGTCCCTTTTTGTTTGAAGCACCATGTCAGTGTCTAATGTGCACACTTTGGTGCATTCTAAAATAAATACAAAAACTCAACCTGAAGATTGTAATGGCACTTTTTTTGAAGCACTGTCACAACAAGGACGAGAGCATGACAAGTACTCAAGTGCACTCTTGCTTTTTACATTCTCAGAGATGTCATTTGCAGAAGCACATTTAATATGTTGCCAGCATATAATGGACTGTCTGACAAATTATAAGATTCCCAAAGCGAAATACATCATGCACAACGTACACCACTGTAACGTTTGATATGCTAAATATAAATGTGTTAAGGTTGAAGGTTTTCAAGTGCCGAATGCAGACACACACCAAGGCAGGGGGGAAAGTGAAGATGATTTTAATAGGAAAACCAGGCTTACAGGAGCTGCAGCTGGCAGGCAGGCAGGCAGGCAGACAGGCAGACAGGCAGACAGGCAGGCAGGCAGAGACAAAAACAGGCAGTTCAAACTGGAATGACTCAAGGAAACACGAGGGAACCGAGTATAAGCACGATGTAACACTGGCAAGCTGCAGAGACAAAATGACAAACTGAGAGGGGAAACAGGGACTGAACACACACAAGGGCCGAGGTAATGAGACACAGATGAAAACATTAGGACTGAGCAGTACAACAGCAGAGACACAGGGAAGGAATATTTAAAGTAAATAAAGTAGGAAATAGTTTCATTTGCAGTTGTTCTTATAACACTGATGTAAGTGTTTTTTTTTAATTGAAGTTTGGTTTTAATCAGTTATTTGATGATATAAAAATGAGGTAAATTATGATGATTGACAGCTGGGACGGATGCGATTGATCACCCGATCGCCATTGCGCAGACTGCATTGGCTACAAAAGATGTCATCAGTGCAAGATGGTGCGGTTTCACATACGGTTTATTTTGACTTCATGTCAGGATGAGAAGAGGAAGTGGAGATTCATTTCCCATCTTTATATCCAGTCTATGTGATGTAGCAATTCATATTTTTGAACACTAAAGACACAATCTTTTTTATCATTCAACTTAATTTTCCCTCTCCCTGCATTTCAACCACACTGGCAGCCATTTAGTATCCCTCCTCAGATACATATAACTGATGGCACATGCTAGCCTGAATAAAAGGAAGCTATTGAAGACCATTTAAATAGTGTCAGTAGTAACGGTAGCCTAACATCAGGGAGTACAGTTGGGCAAAGAGAAGAGACAAAAGCTGTTCTCAATCAGGGGCTTCTTCTAGACAGGTCAACAACGTCTTAACCAGACCTGAGAACCGCTGCCTCCACTGAGAGAGAGACAGAGAGGGAACATCTAAATCTATTTTTATTTAGCACCGAGGGAATAATGAATACCACCACAACTCAGTTCCTGCTTCGCTATCATCTGCCAAAAATAGTTGCGGGGGTCGGCCGCTGCAATATCAAGTGAATACTAATATTCCCGAAGCACTAAGCTGTTCAATTGTCATACTGGGTGTAATCCAAATAAACTCTGAAGGCTACCAGATGTAGGCCTTATATGTTGGCTGTTGCTTGGGAATGAAACAACTGGTGGCATCTACATGCCCCTGCCAGTGTAATTGATTTGTAAGATTTACATATCAGTCCTGGTACCAGCACTCAGCCTCTTCTAGCTGTTTGCCTTCTTCTCTAAATTATTATGGCGTCACATTGCAGAGGAGCTGCTTTCAGAAGACAGTAGAAGAGCAATGAGCAGGTGCAACTGCAGCAAGTAGGGGTTCCCTACTGCCAGGTGTTGTTTGACTGCAGCACAAAGCTATGATCTAATATCATG